CCCCTCTCCCGGACCCCACCGTCTACAGATCCATTGTCGGGGCCCTACAGTATCTGACATTCACCCGACCAGATCTCACTTATGCCGTACAGCAGCTCTGCCTTCATCTCCATGCCCCCCGCAGCTCTCATCTCACGACCATGAAAAGGGTCCTGCGTTACATCCATGGCACCGCCACCCATGGCATCACTCTCCACCGCACCAGTACAAATTCCTCACAGGCATATTCGGATGCTGATTGGGCAGGATGCCCCGATACTCGTCGCTCCACATCTGGGTATTGTGTTTTCCTTGGGGACAATCTCATCTCTTGGTCCTCCAAGAGACAGGCTACCACTTCTCGCTCCAGTGCTGAGGCCGAGTACCGCGCCGTGGCAAATGCAGTTGCTGAGGCTAGTTGGGTCAGAAATCTCCTCCTTAAGCTTCATCAACCTCTTCGACGTGCTACACTTGTCTTCTGTGACAATGTCAGTGCTGTTTACCTCTCGTCTAATCCCGTGCAACATCAGCGCACCAAGCATGTTGAGGTCGATATTCACTTTGTTAGAGACAAAGTTTCCCTTGGTCATGTTCGAGTTCTACATGTTCCCTCCTCTTCTCAGTATGCTAATATTTTCACCAAAAGGCTCCCGTCTCTCCTATTTTCCGACTTCAGACACAGTCTCGGCGTTCGACCATCGCCGGTCACGTAGTTGGGCGCATGTTAAATATAGTATGTATATATTTAATATTAATGATGTAATCATTGTTTATATGGTAGTTTCCATGTATAGGTTTTCTTCCGTAGTTAGGATTCCTTTGTACTATTTATACGAGGCTTAGTCCTCCGTTATCATTTGTAGAAATTAATTATTCTTCAGATAGGTAGATTATTAGTAAAAAATATAATGTGATAGGTAGGGTATGAAAAAAGTAAGGGGTAAAAGTGACTTTTTAATAGAAATAAGAAATGTTTTAAGGGACGGATGAAAAAAAGGGAAAAGATTATATATTTTATATACTCTTATTTATATATTTCTTATATTTTACACATATATTGTATGGACCAAAAAATACACACCCGGTCTATGAGGAAGTTTTTTTTCAGGGATAGTTGGGAAGTTAATTGTCCGTAATTAATTAAAAAGAGGGAGGGTTGCCTACTCGTATCTTGTTTGATTTCTTGTTGAAATAAAAAAGGAAAAAAAGAAGCCCCAAACAAATCCTTCGAGCTGGAAGTGGGTCCAAGGCTAATACAATCCCCATTCCCCAAATTAGTGGCACTGATTAATCAGATGAAGATTTTCCAATGCAGCACAGTTGAGATATGCAATTAGGTTTGATGGCGGAGGATTAATCACATTAATTAATGTACAATAAATTAAGAAGATTGTCCTTAATTATGGACACGTGGCACGCGTGGAAGCGCCCACCCTGGCCCAGCTGTCAGCGCAAGTACGACGAACAGCGTGGAAATAAAAACAATAGCTTTTTGTTTAATGGTCGTGTGTGCTAATATCGACAAAACAAACATAATGAAACATATGGGAAAATAGATTTCCCTAATTAATCCTGTGTCATTTATATATATACATAACACACTTCAATGCTAAGCTTCTTATCTCCGTCTGTAGTACCAGATTTCGTATCTGTGTGATATGAATCTACTCTCTAAAGTTTGCCTTTTACTACTTCATCCATCCAAAAATTTCCTTCCCGTTTTGATTTGGCACGGAGATTAAGAAACATTAAAAAATATAATGACTTTCTACGTGTTGCTCTTGTTGTTGTGTGAAAAAATAGGAAATAAGGGTCCGGGAAAGCTTGATTTTACGGGGCTCAATTGGTATGTAGGTCGAAAGGCAGATCGGCAGGAGCTTCAATCACAAAAAACTTGGTCTCCCAACCTTTAATACGCAGCTCCACTTTGGTGAAGAGGACGTATTTCTGATTGGAGTAAAGGCTGAAAAAAGGGGAATCACACCCTGATAAAAGGGGAATCACCCCGTAAAAATATAAAGACTTTCCATGTGTTGCTCTCAGGATAAAATGACACATTCATCAAAAGGTTTTGTCAAAATATGAAATTATGAGAAATAAATTTGTGAACAGTCCAAAAGAAAAAAGTGAGAAAGAAATTAATGGACCACAGAAGTATTTAGTTTGGAGAAATTTGACATCCATATATGCTGTATTAAAGAGGGTGCCGTGAAAATAAAAATAATTTTCAAGATGCACTATATTTTGACATCAATGATTTGATGTTATCCCACATTTTCAATAATTTTTCTAGCATTTTTATCCCATCATCACGGTTAACTATACCATTCCTCCGTCTCATAAAGTTAATTGTTCTCATTTTGGCTTTTATGAAATTTACGTAGGAATATTTTTGTATTGACTTTCCAAAAATGTTTTTGATATGATGATTAGATTATTAGTAAAAAATTATAATGTGATAAATATAATAAGAATTAATAGGAATAAAAGTAGTTTTTTAATAGAAAAAAGAACTTTGTGGGATACAAATATAAAAAAAAGAAAAACTTTTTGGAACAGAGGAAAATATACTTAAAAAGTAGGGAATAAAAATGATTAACTTTTATCATTTTTAGATGATACGAGTTGTATCACACAAACGTAGCCAGAGGAAGAACCACTTCCACCGTAGGGGTTCTGCGGCCACAGGCGAGGAAAACCAGTGAAGGATAATTAGGGTTTTGAAGGAAGAGAGAAAAAGAATTTAGGGGAGAGGATAGTTGTGTATTATTGCTTGGCTATTTTGAGGTACAAGACCGTATTTATAAGATGGACTTCCTCAAACCCTACGACTAACCTGTCGGTTCAAAAAAAGCGACAAGGGAAAGAACCGAAAAGAAAACCCTTGAAGGAGCTTATAGACCGCTCTCCTAAGAAAATCTACGTTACATGAATGAAATTAAATGATATAAAAAAGTACACATTAAACATAGTCGTCGTAGCGACGGGGCGCCCGTACCTGCCTTCGGGGTCTGTCCGTTCCTCCTAGGTTACCACCCAATGGCGCCACCGCACCCGTATCATTAGATGTCTAAAAATACACTTTTAATTTTCAACATATATAATCCCAATCTCTTAAGTCCTTAAAAATAAAAATAAAAATCAAATTATAAAACATTTATTGCGATGGAGTGAAGTTCTTGTCTAAATGTCTACACTTTTCAATCGTTTTGTTAGACGTAGTAATTATCTTAAACTATAACTTTCTTTCAAAAAAGGGAGATTAAACGAGATGGAGAAATTGGCCAAATTGCAAAAAGAACATAGAAAAAAGGTGAGCCGTGTGTTCGCTCCCCATATCTTAGGGCACTCGCAATACTTTTAAGTGAAATTTGCACTGAATAGAACTAAAACATACTCCCTCCGTTCTCAAAAAGACTTCCTCTTTCATTTTTTCCACTTCCAACAAAACACTTCCCTTTTCTATTAAAAAACCACTTTTACCCTTACTTTTTCATACCCTACCTATCACATCATACTTTTTCTTTAATAATCTATCCATCACATCTTACTTTTACCCATTACATCAGGGGCAAAATTGGAAACCAACTATAATTTAACACTTCCTTATTTTTGCCCCAAATCCAAATGGGAAGTGTTTTTCCAAACGGAGGGAGTAAGTCATTTCCCAACGTAGAACTTAAACTTTTTTATTCCATAAATAAAACTTAATATTGACAAGTAAGAAGAATAATGTCCAAGTGATGCTGGACATTTAGTTGAATAATGACTAATAGATAATGATCAATGGTCCTACATTAGGAAATAAAAACATATAGTCCTATATTAGGAAAGTCATTATTTTTAGTCCTATTTAGGTAAATTACTCTACCTTTAACGCCCGCTGCATTCTTTTGTATTTTGACACCAGGAGGCGTTAAACACCGCCCCCCTCCCTCGTTAACACGGCATCATCATCCCTTGTCAAAGATTTGACGTGCGTTGGAGCGCAAAAATAACTGTTGGCTCCCCTCCCTAACGACTATGATGCCTGATGGTGTAAATTACTTACCGGGTAAATTACTCTAGACAAGGTCTAGGGTGACTTACCAAGGTAAAATAAGCAAAAGACAGAAAACAAGTGTTGACCGAGAGGACTGTAGGTGGAAAACATGCAGTACGTTTGTTATTGAATATAGGCAAGAGTACATGGAAGAAGTATACAAGAGTTTTCTAGTGAGAGAATTCAGATCCCCACATTTGAGGGTTACACATGGTATTTATAGCGTTAAAGGAGGGAGACAGAGCGATGTTCGCCACTGTTCACTCATGTGACGAGATGACTCATGTTTGTCTTTTATTGTTTTGTCCTCTTCCTTGATTGACATCTTACTGTGCTTTCTCTTGTAGCGTTTGGACACGCTAGTCAGTGCAAAGGATTCAATCCCCTCTAAACGCTACTTTCCAAATTAAAATACGCTGAACTGAAGATTTGTGTGATCCCTAATAGGTTACCAGGGTGATCTTTCCAGATAAATCACTCGGATGGTTCATGAGTTTTACGCTTGCTTGGATCTGCCTGTTGACTGATGAAGTATCCAAATCTTAGCCGGGTGGTTAGACCCTACTCGGTCAAATTCATAAATGCTTGTTTCGACGTCTGGAATGGTTTTCTCAATTCACCCGGGAAATGTTTGTAGTGGGCCCGATACGTGTTCTACGTGAGATTACACCCATCAATGCTGTTGGGCTAAAAAAATTCATCTCCTCCCTCTATAAATTAATATATATTTTTAAAAATCAGCACACACCACAAATAAAAATATCCCTTTCCCCTTTCTTAAAAAAATTATTCAAGTATTTGTTTTTATTTTTAACATGAATCGCTTCGGTTTTAAAGTTCATTCATCCGGTCTCGAGTGAAACGAGAAAACGATGTGGATTTTACAATCATTCGCCAGTAATAGCTCTCATATCTCTATAGTCATGTCATATAGATTTATTTGGATGTGTATACTTATAAACACAAGTTCTTGCTTCAGTTTGGCGGCCAGCTATGGTGGTAAGATTCAAATAAGGCGAATGAGGGCTTATTTAGTTCTACGTTTACCATGAGAAGGATGCCAAACGCATTCTCGATGAAGGACCTTGGTCATTTGAGAACAATATGCTTCTGTGTCGCCTTGTTGAGCCTGGAGAAACGGTCACAGCTGCAGATTTACAGTGGCTAGAGCTCTGGGTTCAAGTGCATGACCTTCCTCCAGGGTATACCTCCCCAGCAGTTCTTGAGGAAGTGGGTAAGTTTTTGGGTCAATTTTGTAAGATTGATGTAGCCAATACTTTTAAAGCTTTCCAAGGATTCTTTCGGGTGCGTGTGGCCATTGATGTTTGTAAACCGTTGAAACAAAAGATGAAGCTAACGAAGAGGGATGGCTCTGTAGTGTGGGTTCTCTTCAAATATGAGAGGATTACTGTTTTCTGTTACTACAGTTGCATCCTTGGGCATTTGGCGAAGCACTGTCGTGCAGCACTTCTTTCCTCTTTGGCCCTAGAGAGCTACCCTTATGATGAGTCACTCAAGGCAGAGGGAAAGAAGGCTCTCTTATCGATTGGAGAGTAATGGATCAAGCGTGTAGACCCTGTTAACGTGGGGCAGTTGGCAAAACTATAGTCGGTTGGTGAAAGCTCTGGGACTGAAGATGACATATCCCTTGGGTTGGCAACTAAACGTAAAAGGGGGAACGAGGTGGGATTTAATGTTGTTTCCAATGAAACCTTGATGGATGATAGTTAAAAAAACTTGTTTGGGGCGGGTGCTGGTTTCCAGACCCGCCAGGATCAATGAGCATCATTAGCTGGAACTACCGTGGGTTGGGCAACCGATAGACAGTTCAAGAAGTGGCTGAATTAGCAGCCGCCAAAAAGCCGGATTTGATATTTCTTATGGAAACAAAAGGTGCAAGAAGCAAGGCAGAAGAATTGCGCTTTAAGCTAGGTTTTGAGGGTTTATTCTTTGTGGACAGTGTGGGATTGAGTGGGGGTCTAGTATTACCGTGGAAGGAGAATAACATAGCCAGCCTTATTAATTATTCTCGTTATCATGTGGATATTTCTGTTTCAATAAAGAATATGCCAACATGGAGATAGACTGGTTTTTATGGGAACCCCCGAAGGGATCAGAGGCAGTCATCTTGGAATTTGCTACGCTCTCTCAAGCATAAGTCTTTGTTGCCATGGTTGGTGATTGGAGATTTCAATGATATGTGTGCCGCTGGAGATAAGAAGGGGGCAGCCCCCATCCTCTTGCGCTCCTCACAGGATTTAATGACACTTTATGTGAATGTGTCTTGTTCGATTTGGGAATGAGGGGACACCCTTTTACCTGGGAAAGGGGTCGGGGTACTGATAACTGGATAGAAGAACGTATTGACAGAGCGGTGGCCACGAGATCTTGGCAACAGATTTTTGATCGAGCTTGTGTCTTCAATCACTTTATGCATTGGTCTGACCACTCGGCTCTGTATTTGAGTCTTTTGGGCCCGACACTTCATATTCAGAGAAGTCAATATCGATTTGAAAATGCATGGATTAGAGAAGAAGGGTTTAAAGAGGTTCTTAAAGCTGATTGGCAGGGGTCAGTTGAGATGCCTTTTCAAGACAGATTGCAGTTTTGTGTCAAGAAGCTTATTGAGTGGGGAGGCGATAGGTTCCAAAGATTTGGCAAGCGGAGGAAGGAGTTGTGTGACTTAATTCAAAGGGTCCGCAAGCGTCGTGATGAGGAGGGGCGTCAAATTCTTAATAAAGCAGATAAGGAACTCTCTAAATTGCTTGATCAGGAGGACATATACTGGAAACAACGAGCAAAGCAACACTAGCTTTGTGCGGGAGATAGGAACACTCGTTTCTTCCATCAATATGCCTCTTACCATAAAAAGAAAAATCAAATTCATGGCCTGATGGCTCCGAATGGCAAGTGGTGCGAGGGTCCAGATTTAATGAGTTTAGTGATAGATTATTATAACAGTCTATTTCACTCTAATGGGGCGGCTAATTCAGGTTTTTTGGACTCCCTTACAACATATATTACTGTGGAGCAAAATACTGGTTTGCTCTGCCCGTTCGAGGAAAGTGAGGTGAAAGAAGCTCTCTTTGCCATGCATCTGGATAAGTCCCCTGGACCGGACGGTATGAACCCTGGTTTTTATCAAAAAAGTTGGGAGACAGTGGGTTCTGATGTCACGTAGTTTGTTTTGAAGTGTATTAAGGATCGCTCTTTTCCTGACGGAATGAACGATACCACGCTAGTGTTGATCCCCAAGAAGCAAACCCCTGAGACTGTGGCAGATCTCCGACCCATTGCCTTATGCAATACTACATATAAGATTATAGCCAAGATGGTGGCAAATCGCCTTAAACCCTTGTTGCAACATGTTATCTCGGATAATCAATCCGCGTTCCTCCCAGGTAGACTTATTTCGGATAACATTTTACTAGCTACAGAAATGGGTCATTACTTACACAAAAGCAGCCGGGTTTGACGGGATGGGTGGGATTAAAGCTCGATATGGCAAAGGCATATGACCGGGTGGAGTGGGGCTTTCTCCACAAAATGATGGAGAAACTAGGTTTTGATAGTCGGTGGATTGAACTTGTTATGCTTTGTGTTGCTTCCTTCCGCTATCGTGTTCTTGTTAATGGCGTTGTTACAGATGAGTCGGTTCCCACCAAGGGACTTCGTCTAGGAGACCCCCTCAGCCTGTATTTGTTTATATTATGTGCGGAGGGTCTTCTTTGATGTTGAAGGAGCCTGAAAGGAAGAGGTTGATTCATGGTATTAGAGTGGCCAGGGGAGCTCCTCCCATAACCCATTTGTTCTTTGCAGACAATAGCTTGCTATTCTTTAAGGCATCGGAGCAGGAGGCTGGGCAGGTGAATCAATGTCTCACCGAGTATGAGCGTATCTTAGGGCAGTTGGTAAACTTTAATAAATCTAGTATCTGTTTCAGTTTGAACACCACTCCTCACGTTCGGCAGTCTCTTGTTTCAGTTTTTGGGGTAGTCCAGGCAGAGAATTTTGGTAAGTATTTGGGGCTACCCTCTTTTTTGGGAAGAGATAAAGTAAGAGTGTTCTCTTATATTGAAGATAAAATTCGATGTCAGATTCGGGGTTGGGGAAAGAAGTTGCTATCCAAAGCTGTAACGCCCTCAAACCGGCCTAGTTTTAAATAAATAAATATTATTTATTTATTGAGACTCATTGTTTTAAATAATAAATATTGAGATGTTGATCTCATTAGATGGATTTCAAAAGTTAATGTGTTTTTAAATATAAAAAAATGTTTTAATAACGGACCTCTCAACATTAATTAAATAAATTAATTAATGATTGGGGTGGACCCGGATGTTTGAAAATANCATGTCATTAAATTCGTTTTGACTATCTGATTTCGGAAACACAAACGGATCTCAATTTGGACCCGTTTGGGGGGAAAAAGCGTGTACCGTTCAGGTCAGATTTTATACTACCGAGTAAAATTATTGAGAATAACTCTCCACTTAATTTCACCTCAATTCTCACGCCACTACACCCTCATTCCTCCCACCATTATTCACCCATTAAATTCCCTTTAATAAAACCCCTCTTCCCCATTCATGTTCTTCATCACTTGTAACTCCCTTATTCAACACACACACTCTCCATCTTCCTCTTCTCCTTGTTGAGAGTTTCGGCCATAGCAGCCCAGGGAAAAAGGAGGAGTTCCGACGTGTAGACGAGGAGGTAAAAGAGAAGGAAGTTCACGCGAGAAGTCGTTCGTTCATCGTTCATCGTCATCCATCCGTTCATTCCGTTTACGTTTCATCAACCCCTACGTTTAGAGGTGAGTAGTTGTCCCCTCTAATTCTAGAACATCAAGTTATAATCTATGTCGTTATATTCATAGGAATATCGTACGCAACCTACGTAGAATCTATGCATGTTCGTAGGTTAGCCATCAAAAGGTTTACTACGTAAAAATCGTATATATTGGCCTATGAATCACTATGAATATATTCATCAATGTTTACATTATTGTTCTAAAAAGAATCAAGGTGTTAAGTTTGCAAAATGGACCAAAACGTAGCCAAGGACAAGGGACTATCCTCGGGACGGTCGACCGCCGCTACGGACGGTGGACCGTACCCTCGGCCAGTCCGACGGTCACCACCGGGACGGTCGACCGTCAGCCGCAACGGAAGACCTAGGTGGATCGTCAGTAACCCAGAACCAGACCGTAGCCCCACAGTCGACCGCCAGTAGGGTACGGTCGACTGTTCCGCGGGCAGGTTCCCGGGCAATTTGTTGAATAAGCCCCGTTGACCATATTGACCCAGAATCTGGTTGTATGTTTGCATGAAATGTTTATATAGTAGTCAGGTTACGGCTACTACCCGGTTTTGCTAGTCCACTTGTTCCCGGCTCATTACCGTTTCGGTATGACAACCGGAGTGCAGGGGTGATCCTGTGAAGTGAGGCTAAGCCAGGGGTGTCCCTGATAGTTCAGGTCATGCATCAAGTCATATCATCATCATGTATGTTCCACGTCACATCAACATTCAATGTGGTTATTATTCATTTTGTTATGTGTAAAAGTATCCCATCAAGTGCAAATTAATCAGTTAGTAAACATGTGGTTTTCCGTACGTTAAGTACAGGTACTAATATGTGTATAATCATATGGGTTATCACTTTATGTTCTTTTGTTAGATTCACTCCTCAGCTTTTGCTGAGCGTGTAGTTGTTTTTGCTACACGCAGGTAGACATGATGATACAGGTGCTAACCCTGGAGGACAGTGATGATGGGAAGATGGGCGGAGCACGGACAAATTTAATAATTATATACATTTAATAAATTAATCATTTGGGCATGAACCCACCATATGTCGGTTACTTATTTTGGACTTATTTATTTATTTTCGCTTTACTCTGCATTTATAATTCACACGTTTTGGGATTAACTCCCTAGCATTTATTCCACTAATTAAACCCAACCGTTTTCATAATCAATAAGAATTAATGTTTTTCGCTACGGAGGGTTTTCGGACCGCCCATGTAACCCTACCGGTCCGTTGGGTCGCAGGTGAACCAGGTCCACGGAAGGCAGGTGTTACAAAAGCTGGGAAGGAGATCCTATTGAAAACAGTGGCTCAGACAATGCCTTTATATGCGATGAGTGTATTCCTTTTCCCTCGTTTTACTTGCCAGAGAATTGAGCGCCTTTTGAACTCCTTTTGGTGGGAGAGTAAAGGAATTAACTCTTCAGGTATTCATTGGATGTCTTGGCAGCGACTATCGGCCCCCAAGAAGTTCGGGGGATTGGGTTTTAAACAAATACGTGAATTCAACGTGGCCATGATAGGTAAACAAAGATGGCGCCTCTTAACGAAACTGGAAGCACTTGTGACTAAAGTATTCAAAGCTAGGTACTTTCCCAAAACATCATTCCTGGAAGCCCGGTTGGGAAGTAATCCAAGCTTTTGTTGGAGGAGCATACTGGAAGCAAAAAATTTCAGATGGAGTGAGGAAGCGGATTGGAGACGGATCTAACACTCTTGTGTGGGGAGATCCTTGGCTGGCCGATAGGGTGAATCCCTTTATTCTCACTCCCCGACCACCTTTTATGCCTAATCTTCCTGTTTGTTTCTTGTTGAATCGTGATGCAGGTGGATGGAATTTAGAGGTTGTGCAAAGCTTATTTTGCCCCAGTGATATAGACCAGATCAGTAGGGTGCCACTTCAACTAGATAGTGAGGACAAATGGTATTGGGCAGGAGAGACGCATGGGGAGTACTCCGTCAAAGAGGCTTATCGTCGATTGGTTGGCGAAGCTACGTCAACTCTTGGTTTCTCTCGATGGGGTCAGATATGGCAGATTCTAATTGCTCCTAAAACTAGAATCTGCCTTTGGCGTACAATTAGAAATATCATTTCGGTCAAGGTGGCGTTGATTACGAAAGGCATGGAGATCAAGATTGAATGTCCAGTTTGTGGCGGTGCTGCAGAAACCATTGATCATATATTTCTTCATTGTCCTTTGGCTATTGGAGTCTAGAACTTATTGGGATGGTCATGTCATCTTGTACAGACACAATCATTGGTTGAATGGATGGAATACCAATTTTCAAAGCTTTCTGTTAAGGAGCTTAAGTTGGTAGCCGGAGGTATATGGGCAATTTGGAGAGCCAGAAACAAGGCGGTTTGGGATCATTACATCCCTTCACCGCAATCTGTGGTAAGCTGGGTCAGAGAAGCCTTACTAGATCTGCCAAACAGACCTGGTCAAAGTGGAAGACAAGAGTCGATGCAAGTTTCCCCGAGATCAGAGCACAGAGTCTTTCGATGTTATGTGGATGCAGCCATATTCTCTTCCTCTAAAGAGGTCGCTTTTGGGAGCGTCATCTTTAATCCGGGAGGTTCCTTCTATGCTGCTATAAATGGAATGATGCAATGTCCCTTAGAACCGGTGATGGTAGAGGCTATGGCATGTAGAGAAGCTCTTACTTGGGCTAGAGCTAACGAGATCCAAGATGTGGAGCTCCATACGGATTGCAGGTGGGTTGTGGAAGCTCTTTGTGAAAGAAACATCTAGGTTTTTTCTTATCTTGGAACTATAATAAAAGATTGTAAGGCTCTTCTAGCTCAGTTTAATTCGGCATTGGTTTCTCATATTCTTCAGGAAGCTAATGGTATCGCTCATACACTTGCTTGTAGTGCGATAACTCAATCTTCTACGTGGAATACATCTCCTCCGGATTGTATTTCTCATTTATTGGAATGATATTCAAATTTGATTTCAAAAAAAAAAACTACTCCACTGTCTAAAGATAACGAATTATTGTGAAGGATAAAATTAAGTGGTTAGGAAAAACGATATAAACCCTATATTGGAGTAGTAATTTTTTAATATGAAAATGATATTTTTATTTCAAATTTAGAAAAATTGGAATCATTTTGAAAGACAGTAGGAGATCATTATCCATCAATTTAGGCCATGACATTATGTTTGGTTTAATTCTACTGTATTTCATAAACACACATGGACAATAATGCAAAGATATAACTATTTTATACTCCCTCCGTCTCTTTAAACATTGGATGTTTTGATTTTGAAGAAATTTAAGGGGAGTGTATTTTGGTATTGAATTTCCAAAAATGCTCTTTGATGTGATGGGTAAAAGTATGATTTGATGAGTAAATTATTAGTAAAAAGGTATGATGTGATAGGTAGGGTATGAAAAAGTAAGGGGTAAAAGTTACTTTTTAATAGAAATAAGAAGTATTTTTTGAGACGAATGAAAAAAGAAAGGAGAAAGATTTTCAGAGACGGAGGGAGTACTTTGTTATCGTGCAAAAGGAAGGTCAAATATGGTACTCTCTCCGTCCCAAATTCATTTACATTGTTTGACCAAAGTGTATAATTTTATTTTAAAAAAATGATTTTATTTATAAATTAAAATAAGAATAAAAATAAAAATTACATATTTAAAATGTATATCAAAAGTTCTACACAAATTAAATAAAATGTAATTTTGGAGAAATTTTGGAGTATTTCTGAAATTAATTTTTGGCACAATTTCATACGGACTATTGAAACAAAATTTTTATCCTAATATATATATATATATATATATATATATATATATATATATATATATATATATATATATATATATATATATATATATATATATATATATATATATATATATATATATAATGATGTGATTCGTGAAATATGAATTTCTCCCTCCCCGTACGTGGCTACAGTTGGTCGGTATCAAACATTGTTTTGCTTTGGGACAATTTCATTCTCATTCTAAGCATCCGTACAAATCATGTTATTTGAAAGTTTTCTTACTCGTATTCCCTATTAAAAGATTATCCCAGTTTAACTTTTTTTGTCTAATTATAACATTCTTTTACCATGAATTACATATAGTTTAAAATAATTAAATAATATAAAATTTGATATATCAAAAGTATATATATATTTTAAAATAAAATTAATTATACTAAATTTACATTATAACTAAAAATACTTTTTCCATTATTCATGAAAATCAAGAAGGGATGGAGTGTTATTCAATCAAATTCCTAACTCTCTAGTCACACTCAAGACTCCTTCGGGTTTTAAGTTAGAATCACTACACTAGATGATTTTTTGTTAGGACCATGCTAGGGTGCCCCACATGGTTGCTACCATGGGTGCACCCATGCTTCGTACAGACAAACACAGACGATAATTGTCTGTGCGACACAGATAATTATCGTCTGTGTTTGTCTATGCGAAGCATGGGTGCACCCGTGGTAGCATCCATGTGGGGGCACCCTAGCATTTTCCTTTTTGTTATCCTCTTTTCATGAGTTAGCGGTACAGTGTACTCCCCTATCCTAAAACAACATTCTTCCCGTTTAGTTACGAGGTGCAATTGATGTAGGTGAGGTGATTAGTTTGGGTCGGGACTTGGAAAGGGGTTTACGGGGGGTTAGGAGGAGGGGTAGGAATCATCAATTTTATGAACGGAGCTCCGTAGGGGACAGTGACTTCCGTGGCCACTGGAATCCAGTGGCCATGGAACCGGGCTCAACTTATATTTGGTATTTGGTTTTTTCAAGCTATTCTTGGTGATTTTAGGTTTTTCTTTTCACCTGATTTGAACGATGATGATCTGATTTGAATAAGTTTTGATATAACCTCATCAAATTTGGCATGATCTGACATGAATGTATTTATATTTAAAACTGTTTTAAATCTGATCTGATTTGAGTGTACTCTATAAATTCTACTCCGGGGTATAAAACATCTCCCACCGTTTGCCTTGCTTTCATGTGTTGCTTTCATTACACAGTTACTTTACATAATGCTCCGTAACTTGGCTGTCAAAGCTATCATAAACAACTCAACACACGTTAACAACGTTTATTGTTTCTAAATTCATACTCCGTATAATCCAAAGCATGACAATGAAGAAACATCATCAAATTTTACAATATACATACTGTCCAAATAAAACACATTTGGTAAAGTATATTGAAACTAAGGGAGCGTTTGGTTTGAAGAACACATTTTCACAAAAAAATTTTAATTTTAATTTTCTACATTTGCTTATAAAAGTGGTAGAAAAATATTTTCAAGAATAAATATTTCAAATCGACAAGGGAGAAATGAATTTCGTTTCATTTCAAAAGAAAATTACTACTCACTTTCCGCCCCCGCCTTCACACGCATGCCCCCACCCCCAGTGGCGGAGCCAGGGGAGACTTCATGGGGGGGGGGGGGGCAAAAATTCACTTAATAAATAAACAAAATACATAATAGTAAGTAGTATCTTAATTGGCAAATTGCAAGTAAACATTCCTTCTACTTGTGTAAAGGAGTAAGACTTGTTTGAGGCCGTAGAAAATTTTTTCGAGATGCCAACTTTTGAAAGCGCTGCATAATAACTTCATCATCAATGCTCTTAAAAATTTCTTTCTCAAAGTAGCACAACAGACAATCTGATAAAAGCTCATCTCCCAAACGGTTGCGTAAATCAGTCTTGACAATATTCATCGCAGAAAAACTCTTTTCCACTGAAGCTGTACCAACAGGTAATATCAATGCCAATTCTATAAGCCGATATACCAAAGGAAAATGTGTGATAATTCATCCCCACCATCTTCTTTGCAAGACTTCCAAGATTGGAGATGTTAGCAAAAACTTTATTCAATTTCATATCCGAAATGTAATTTTGAAGTTCATGAATAAGCTCAACTCGATCAGTAGAACTAAAATCTTCTGAGTATAATACAGCAAGTTCCAATAGCCGATCTTGATCAAAACTCGCAAAGCAATTAGAAGGATCAAGACACATCACACATCTTAGTAAATTTGTGTTTGTCTCTGTAAAGTGTCTATCCATTTCCACAGCAAGAGTATCAATCACCTAAAATCAAATAAAGAATAATTATAATAATAACAACTTATTTAGTATATTATGATATTAAAATACTTCCAAAAAAGATATCAACATTTAAAAATAATAAGAGTAATATACCTTTGCAAAGATCTCTACACGAAAATGCACATAATTTGTCATGGGTTCACCACCTTTCATCTTCTTTCTTGATCGCCCACGAAGATAATCTTCCATGTTAGGTACATCAATTACATGTTCTTCACAAAATTCACTAACTTCCTTCAAAAAGGCATCCCAACCATGATCTCTAAAATCTTGTAAGTTCTTTTTTACTACACCAATCATATTCAAAGCACAACCAATATTTTGATCTCGTGCTTGTAATATCTTTGATAAGGTGTTAGTCATACCTAGAACTTTCAACATAAACTTTCCAATAAAAACAAACTCAAAAGAATCCATTTTATCAAGAATACCACCAGCACTGTTTTTAATTTTGGGTGTTTCACCATGCATGTGTAACGAATTTAGCACTGTACCAATAGCATTCCACATATCAAAGAGACGAACAAGAGTTTTGTAGTGAGAGCCCCAACGTGTATCACCTGGTCGAGCTAAAGATGTTGCTTGATTTTGCCCCCTTCCAGTTGACAATTCACCTGTTTCTATGCGATGCAAAGTTTCCTCACCGTGTACTTGAAGGAGAAAATCCTTCCGTTTGCACGAGGATCCAACTGTATTAACAATCATCAATAGCTTTTCAAAGAAATCAAATACACTCTCCCTATCTTGTGCAGCCGCAACAATAACTAACTGAAGTTGGTGGGCAAAACAATGAATGTAGTATGCATTCTTGTTTTCATTAAGAATAAGTGTTTTCAACCCATTAAATTGACCGCGCATGTTTGAAGCCCCATCATAACCTTGACCTCTTAGTCTTGAAAG